TTTGTTTTCGGATTTGTCGTTGTGTTTTCTGACTTGTTAATTTGTTTTCGGATTTGTCGTTGTGTTTTCTGACTTGTTAATTTGTTTTCGGATTTGTCGTTGTGTTTTCTGACTTGTTATAATGTTTTCTGAATTGTTGTTGTGTTTTCTGAATTTATATTTAGTTTTTTACACTTGCATTTGCGTTTGTAATTTGTTATTTTGTTTTCAGATTTGTGTTTTGTTTTGCACTTCTCGGCCACCGTAGTTATGCTTATTTTTGATATAGAATTAATAATAAAAGATAAGAAATAATAAGTGTGAATAATAAAATTTTTCCTCGATATTCAAACCTATTAGACCTTCAATGTCATTGTAAACAGTTAAACTAAAGTGCCCTGCTAAATTTTTATGTATTTTTTTCCTTGAATGTTTCTAGACCAGACCCCAACCCCAACGCGCTTTTTGAAGAACTGCGAGGAGGTGGGTCTCTTCAGCGAGCTGGATTGCTCTATCGAACAGGAGTTTTGCAAGGCTCAGGAGGAGGAGGACAACAAACAGGTGAGATTATGGTGTGGGTCTCGCAGTTGTGATCCCCAATGCTAACAGCCGCTGTCACTACTACCCCATCCAATATAACAACAAGTCACTGTCAGCTTTGGATAGATCACACACATACACGACAGGCAGATAGAGGGTCCCTTGCTGAAGCAGGAAAAAGATACACCCAGAGATCACATATGGCAGCTGAGCTTCAAACTGATTGACAGTTGTGTTCACAAAGAGTATTGTTTGTCTGGATATAAAATCATTCTAGACAATAACAAATGCTTGATATTTTTTAAAACTGTGTGAGCTGCCTACGGAAACATTATTGTTTTGCTTCCAATGTGAAATGGTTTTCCAAAAGAGAGTTTTTCCAAAAAACTTGATTTAGGCAATTTCTAAAACCAGAAACATACTGTACATATGATTTGAAAGAATCTCTGCCATGAAGTAGTTCACTTGAAAGAGAAAACATACGTTAAAGGGGTCCTATTATGAATTTTAGTCAGTGTGTAGTGTGTATGTTTGGGCATAAAAAAGATCTTCAAACTTACAAATCTCCAAAAGTCCAGATATTTCGTTTAAAAAAATACCTTTTCAAGAACTACAACGAACGGCTCGTTTGGACTACAGCGTTTGTTTTCCGGGTTTTGTGATATCACAAAGCAGTACTAAATTACTTAAATATTGAAGGTTAAAAGTAATGAAGTTTTTACAATAATAAAGTTACAGTTACATAATAATATTTCTACTTCAATTCGTTTTTTGAAATATAAACATTTAAATGTCGCTGTCATAAAAACTTGATGGATTTATTCAAACATAAATTAAACATTGAAGAACAGTACAAATGATAATGAATATGTTATATGGTGCATATATTAAGCAAAATGCCCCTCTCTACAGTTTATTTTTCCAGCTGATTAATGAGTTTATGGTTACCAAATATGTTTTTACCCAGTCCTACTGGTTAGGTATGTTTTGAAGCATGGCAGCTGGTTTGACCTGGTTTAAGCTGGTCCTTAGTTGGTCATGATGCAGGGAATATCTACAATAATACAACGCCACAATACTGAGTATGCAATTCATGTGCTATGTTTTGAGACTAATGTTAATGTTATGATACTATTTTAATGAGATTTTGACAATCCTTTTAATCTACAGCAAGCCAATCATGGCAAGTTATAATACATGTGTAACAGATTATAGTAACGTAATAGACTTCCTAGGACGTTGATAGAAACATTCACATGTTTTTCAAAGCCATATTTCAAAGTGATAACTGGGATGATAACTGTAAAGCCATGGTGATAACCAAACTCTTGCAGGTATTTTTATCATATATCGTCAAGGTCTGACAATGACGCACACAGACACCTTCAATCCTAAATTAATGACTGTTTTACCACTTGCACCTAAACTGTGTCACAAGATGACTGGGCTCAGTGACCACCACCTTATTGTCTGCCTGACAGTGGTGCTGTAGATAAACTGACGATGTCTGTTAATCTGGGGAGTTTACACTTGAGGTTTAGCGTTAGTACACCATGCCAAGTCAGCAAGCAGCAGGTTGTAGCAGGACTTTGCTGAGCTCAGGCGAAGACAGGTGAGAGGGAAATATCGCCCAGAGCCTTTGCAGAGAATTCTGCTGCGCTTGTCTTAAGTGTACTGAAATCAAATGTGGAGGTCGAATCTCATGTGTTTAAAGGATGTGCTTTTTAGGGTAGTTAGATACTGTGTGACTAAAGGGCCAAATAGCGTGTTAGAATTTAACACAAAATCTACTCATAGTTCAGTTTAACCATGATGCTAAATGTCATAATGAGTCATTGTCATTATTTTTAGCGCAGACATGCCCCTTTCTTTGTAAATGTGGCTCTTTATAGAGTGTCGTATTCACAAAACTCTATTTAAGGTCATCAGACAAGCAGTAAGCAGCAATTACCGAAAAGCCAGAAAGAGGTAAACAAAATTTCAGATTTTTTTATTGATCATGGCTCCAGTTATTTGTGTAATGATGATCAAATGATTAAGAAAAGCATTATAATTCATCTCAGTAAAGTAAATCAGATTGCAGTAGTCTGCTGTATATTATCCACCAACCGTGTAAATTGTGTTCAGCAGCACAGATTTTGTGGGTGCATCTGTGCCATAACCTGATTGTATGAAAATCCTTTAGTGCACACTAAAGCTACATAGACAGTGCAAATAAACGGCACTGTCAGAATCACAATTTATTCTTGATGAATCTCTCCTCTTTAACAAAGTACTTGGTTAGTTGATGCAAATTAGGAAAACTACTGAAGAAAATCAGTACATTTCTGTCCACTTGTTTATCTTCTAAACCATAACAGGTGCAGCTGGAACCGTCAAGGTGTGGCCCACAATAGAAATCCCCCTTCTTTATTTCTCACTTAAAAATACTCTATTTGCTACAGGAAGTGCATGCATAAGCTTGGATTCACACCTAAACAAGTAACAGAGTGCATTTTTGACCAACAAGCCTCCTTTTTCACACATCCCATAAAGTGTGGTGTGTGTCAAAGGGGCCTAAACCAAAGAGGATGCTATATAAAATGTTTAATGAGTGCTTCATGCATTCTTTTCTAGTTTTAGCTCTACATTCTTAAGGTGCGATGCAAAATGGACAACAAACAGGTGAGATTATGGTGTGGGTCTCGCAGTTGTGATCCCCAATGCTAACAGCCGCTGTCACTACTACCCCATCCAATATAACAACAAGTCACTGTCAGCTTTGGATAGATCACACACATACACGACAGGCAGATAGAGGGTCCCTTGCTGAAGCAGGAAAAAGATACACCCAGAGATCACATATGGCAGCTGAGCTTCAAACTGATTGACAGTTGTGTTCACAAAGAGGATTGTTTGTCTGGATATAAAATCATTCTAGACAATAACAAATGCTTGATATTTTTTAAAACTGTGTGAGCTGCCTACGGAAACATTATTGTTTTGCTTCCAATGTGAAATGGTTTTCCAAAAGAGAGTTTTTCCAAAAAACTTGATTTAGGCAATTTCTAAAACCAGAAACATACTGTACATATGATTTGAAAGAATCTCTGCCATGAAGTAGTTCACTTGAAAGAGAAAACATACGTTAAAGGGGTCCTATTATGCTTTTTGACTTTTTGAATTTTAGTCAGTGTGTAGTGTGTATGTTTGGGCATAAAAAAGATCTTCAAACTTACAAATCTCCAAAAGTCCAGATATTTCGTTTAAAAAAATACCTTTTCAAGAACTACAACGAACGGCTCGTTTGGACTACAGCGTTTGTTTTCCGGGTTTTGTGATATCACAAAGCAGTACTAAATTACTTAAATATTGAAGGTTAAAAGTAATGAAGTTTTTACAATAATAAAGTTACAGTTACATAATAATATTTCTACTTCAATTAGTTTTTTGAAATATAAACATTTAAATGTCGCTGTCATAAAAACTTGATGGATTTATTCAAACATAAATTAAACATTGAAGAACAGTACAAATGATAATGAATATGTTATATGGTGCATATATTAAGCAAAATGCCCCTCTCTACAGTTTATTTTTCCAGCTGATTAATGAGTTTATGGTTACCAAATATGTTTTTACCCAGTCTTACTGGTTAGGTATGTTTTGAAGCATGGCAGCTGGTTTGACCTGGTTTAAGCTGGTCCTTAGTTGGTCATGATGCAGGGAATATCTACAATAATACAACGCCACAATACTGAGTATGCAATTCATGTGCTATGTTTTGAGACTAATGTTAATGTTATGATACTATTTTAATGAGATTTTGACAATCCTTTTAATCTACAGCAAGCCAATCATGGCAAGTTATAATACATGTGTAACAGATTATAGTAACGTAATAGACTTCCTAGGACGTTGATAGAAACATTCACATGTTTTTCAAAGCCATATTTCAAAGTGATAACTGGGATGATAACTGTAAAGCCATGGTGATAACCAAACTCTTGCAGGTATTTTTATCATATATCGTCAAGGTCTGACAATGACGCACACAGACACCTTCAATCCTAAATTAATGACTGTTTTACCACTTGCACCTAAACTGTGTCACAAGATGACTGGGCTCAGTGACCACCACCTTATTGTCTGCCTGACAGTGGTGCTGTAGATAAACTGACGATGTCTGTTAATCTGGGGAGTTTACACTTGAGGTTTAGCGTTAGTACACCATGCCAAGTCAGCAAGCAGCAGGTTGTAGCAGGACTTTGCTGAGCTCAGGCGAAGACAGGTGAGAGGGAAATATCGCCCAGAGCCTTTGCAGAGAATTCTGCTGCGCTTGTCTTAAGTGTACTGAAATCAAATGTGGAGGTCGAATCTCATGTGTTTAAAGGATGTGCTTTTTAGGGTAGTTAGATACTGTGTGACTAAAGGGCCAAATAGCGTGTTAGAATTTAACACAAAATCTACTCATAGTTCAGTTTAACCATGATGCTAAATGTCATAATGAGTCATTGTCATTATTTTTAGCGCAGACATGCCCCTTTCTTTGTAAATGTGGCTCTTTATAGAGTGTCGTATTCACAAAACTCTATTTAAGGTCATCAGACAAGCAGTAAGCAGCAATTACCGAAAAGCCAGAAAGAGGTAAACAAAATTTCAGATTTTTTTATTGATCATGGCTCCAGTTATTTGTGTAATGATGATCAAATGATTAAGAAAAGCATTATAATTCATCTCAGTAAAGTAAATCAGATTGCAGTAGTCTGCTGTATATTATCCACCAACCGTGTAAATTGTGTTCAGCAGCACAGATTTTGTGGGTGCATCTGTGCCATAACCTGATTGTATGAAAATCCTTTAGTGCACACTAAAGCTACATAGACAGTGCAAATAAACGGCACTGTCAGAATCACAATTTATTCTTGATGAATCTCTCCTCTTTAACAAAGTACTTGGTTAGTTGATGCAAATTAGGAAAACTACTGAAGAAAATCAGTACATTTCTGTCCACTTGTTTATCTTCTAAACCATAACAGGTGCAGCTGGAACCGTCAAGGTGTGGCCCACAATAGAAATCCCCCTTCTTTATTTCTCACTTAAAAATACTCTATTTGCTACAGGAAGTGCATGCATAAGCTTGGATTCACACCTAAACAAGTAACAGAGTGCATTTTTGACCAACAAGCCTCCTTTTTCACACATCCCATAAAGTGTGGTGTGTGTCAAAGGGGCCTAAACCAAAGAGGATGCTATATAAAATGTTTAATGAGTGCTTCATGCATTCTTTTCTAGTTTTAGCTCTACATTCTTAAGGTGCGATGCAAAATCCTGTCATTTCAATAGGACTCCAAAAAATCTGGTCCGCCACCCAGGTATGAAAAGCTGCTTGGTTTGAAAGTAACTTCTGTTTGGCCTTCATACATCCTTATACTATTGATAAAAGACAATTGATCTTTTTTTGCACACAAAATTTTGCCCAATATTTCTGCACCAAGTTCTGTAGTTTAGGGTTGACTTGTAGGGAGTTTTCTTTTCTAGTGTAGTTATGTTAGAGTAGATTAACAGTTTATATTTTACCCCTGTGTACATGACATGTCCTCACCCTTCTGTCTGTTTCTGAACAGAATATCTCTCTTCATGGGCAGGGGGGCCCTAACCAGCACCAGCAGACCCACTCAAGAATGGCTAACCACAACAGCAGCATAGTGATCCAGCAGGCACTGCCCTCACCCCAGTCCAGTTCTGTCATCACTCAAGCCCCTTCCACCAACAGACAGATTGGGTAAGTCGTGCCTCTCATCACTGCAATTGCAGGGCAGAATAAATATCGTTAGTTGTATGTCATTGGTACAACGTTCAATAGACGTGTTCAATAGGCTAGTGTTTGATATTAGTCCAAGGTCCATGCCGCTGTTTGCATTTCTCCTATCAGAATACAGCAGCCGACTTGCACAAGGTGGAGAAGTAGTGATTATGTTCTTCAAAAGACTGTGTTTGAGTCTAAGTTAGAGTTTGTTTGTCCTGTCATGTGGACAGCAGTGAACAACAGCTGGATTCTTGGATTCAGATTGGAGGTTTTATTGAAGTATCTTAAAGGAACAGTTCACCCAAAAATGAAATTTGCTGAAAATGTACTCACCCTCAGGCCATCCAAGATGTAGATGAGTTTTTTCATCAGAACAGATTTTGGAGAAATTAAGCATTGCATTTTTTCTCACAAATGGATCCTCTGCAGTGAATGGGTGCCGTCAGAATGAGAGTCCAAACAGCTGATAAAAACATCACAAGCAATCCACATGACTCCAGTCCATCAATTAACATCTTGTGGAGTGAAAAGGTGCTTGAAATTAAAATCCATACAAGTTGTTTTAACTTGAAACTATTGTTTCTAGCAAAAATATTAGTCCATGATCCTCAATAACACTTTCTCCAGTAAAAAAGTCCTTCATCTGTTGTCCTCTCACATCAGAATCCACTGAGATATTTGTTTAGAACCATTTTGGACGGTTTTAACTAGTAAACTACTTGATCTGTGCATATTTCTCTCCTGATTCGGGTTACTCAGCTATTTCAATAGAGAAAGCAATATTATGAATAGAGAACTCATATTTTAGCTGGAAGCAACAGTTTGAAGTTAAAAAGGCTTAATCATTCATGTGTTTATTACAAACATGCTTGTCTATTACTTGTGGATTATTGTGATGTTATTATCAGCTGTTTACACTCTCATTCTGATGACACCCATTGACTGCAGAGGATCCATTTGTAATGAAATATTTAATTTCTCCAAATCTGTTTCGATGAAGAATGGTCAATTGGATGGTCAATTTTCATCCAATTGAAATGGATTCATCCAATTTCATCATTTCCAAAATGGAAAATTCTGTCATCTTGTACTCACCCTAATATTTCAAACCAGATTTTTCGAAACATGGTTAGACTCTGAGTCTAGATGGGGGTCAAAGTGAAGTTATGCCTTTGGTGAGGTTTTGGATTTCACACATTCAAAGTTTCATACACACACACCGACACTCTCACACACTTTTACCCAATAAAAAAGCACATTGCTGACTACATGATAGAAATGCCTCTTAAAAAAACGTTCATTGAAATGAAAGTTTTGCCGTTTGATCAGCAAATCAATATTTATTGCTAAAACAATTCTTACAAATGAGCAAAGTGTCCTTGAAAGGGCACATTCTCACATTTTTGGGAAGACTGTAACACTCTGTGGCTGTTCCATGCTTTAGGTGTGTGTGTGTGTTTGTGAATCTTTCCAGTTGTCCCTGCAGTGACTCTTAAAGTTCTCTGTGTCGTGCAGCCAGCTTGGGTGTGTCCCACAGTGATGACATCAGTGGTGCAGCTCTGGTGGGAATATCAGCTTTTTGGGATGACGCCCCTCTTGCGCAAACATATCCCACTGCTGACCCGTCTTTCTTTTTTCTCCAACAGTCTTATTCCCTCTTTCTTTTTGTCTTTCTCTCTCTGTCTCTTTGTTGCGTCAGAATGCGCCCTGTCTGCAGTATAATCACCACATGAAACCCACTTTCAAACACATTACAAGAGGGCCGTAGAGAGAGGACGGTATCATTTTCAGCAGTGGTGGAGGTTTAAGATGAAGATTATAGGGTCAGGTCTACAGCTGACACCAAAATCACAGATTTGTTATGTATAACAACAGATTTTCTGAAACAAGATGTTTCATAATGAAACTGTCATGTAGCAAGTTGATATATGGATATATCAGTTGCTTAATGTATGGAGGAGCTTATATCTGAAAGCAGTCGACAATCAATAACACACACTTTATTTAATGCTTGTGTATGTGTTTGATGATTTTTGTGAGGCGTTTGAAGAAATACTGCATATCTCTGTGCCAATGGTAAGACAGGATAGGGCGTAGGTGCCCAGAATGGACAACTTGTGAATATTGGATGGAAGGCCTGTCAATCAAGTTGACTGATGGTCTGACAGTGCCTTTGTTCTGGGAAAGAGATGGAATTACAGTGGAAGAAAGAGAAAGGATAGGAGACAGAGAGAGACTGGTTAGTTCTCATTAACTTTTCTAGTCCTTGGTAGTCACTCAAAGACTGTTAAATAATCAAAAGAATGTACAGTAAATCTGTAAAGAAGTTTTGAAAGATGCACTGATTTTTATGACCAAACCAACTGAGTTTCTCGTTTGCATACCATCTGCACAATATACTTATGAGCACTTTGTTAGAAGGGTTTCTGCAGGGTCATGGGCAGTAATGCTGAACACTGCTATGAATGGGAGGTGAATGTCAATTCATGCAGAGCATATGCAATGTCCGTGCTGTTTTTGTGTTGGAACATGGGTGTGCATGTGCTAAAGCTGTAAAGAAACAGTTTATAGCACTCATTTTGGATGGACACTCATGCAGCTCAGATATTATAAAGTCCTCGGTCTTTTATGGAAATTGTATATTTTATTGAGAGAAGCTGTGTTAGTCTTACAGTAATTGGTCAATATCATGAAACCTGTCAAGAACTTGAATGGGTCACATTTCAGACCAAAATCAAACAAAAGTTATACAAAAATATATTTATACAAAATTGTATTATATATAAAAATATATATTTTTAGGTTTTGTTTTGTTTTCTTGTTTTGTCTCTTTACTCTAATGCAAAACATCTAAAAGTTTATTTAAATGAGTAAATATTTATTATTGTGATATCAGTGTTATTTTAGTATCATTTATTAAAGTTTTTGTTGATATTTTGAATTAGATTTTATTTTTTATATTTTCTGTTTTAATTTGAATTTTATTTAATGTTTTAGTAATGTTGGTTGTGTGTTTATTTGTCATTTTTATTAGTTTTTAAAATTTAAATATTTAAGTTTGTATTTGTAGTAAATTTAATTAATTAGTTTTAATTAGTTTTAATTAATTAATTTATTTTAGATATTGTAATACTTTTTAATTCTTATTTATTTTAGAAACTTTAGTAAACTAAAAAAATGACAAATGTTGCCTTGGCAACTAGCTGAAATAAAAGCCTTTGGTGGGGTTTTGGATTTCACACATTCAAAGTTTCATACACACACACCGACACTCTCACACACTTTTACCCAATAAAAAAGCACATTGCTGACTACATGATAGAAATGCCTCTTAAAAAAACGTTCATTGAAATGAAAGTTTTGCCGTTTGATCAGCAAATCAATATTTAATGCTAAAACAATTCTTACAAATGAGCAAAGTGTCCTTGAAAGGGCACATTCTCACATTTTTGGGAAGACTGTTTTTTTTTTCATATTTTATTTTATTTCAATGAAAGTTTGTTTTATTTCAAGTAACAAAAATGTTTTTTAGTTTTAGTTAACAATAATAACCCTGGGTAGTATTTGTTGTACTTCTTGGGGGGAAAAAGTTAACTGTAATAAAATACATAATGGATTACAGTAACGACAATTTGAATGACAATGTTACTTTTTTCATTTTAGTTGTGTTGTATGACATGAATATGGAGATTCACCCAAGCACAGTTTGCATTAATGTTCTGAAAGGTTTACTGAAATTTTTCTGTAAACCTTTCTGATTGGTTTTAATTATTGTTTATGTCTGTTGAAAACTGCAACTCTCTAGGACTCCACAAGTGTTAGGGTGGTTGTTTTGTTATGGGCACTGTGGAGGTCAGGGGTCAGCCTATGGAAGTGTGTTTGGAAATGTCCACCTCAGCGGGAAAGAAAGGCTTTCAATCCCCTTAAAACAGAAACTCCACTTCCCGCAGGAAGCCATCGAGGCCAGTTAGTGCCTCTGTCTTCGGCCGTTAAATCTTATCTTCCTGCTGCTCTGAACCGAAGAATCATACCATGATTTCAAGGGGTCATATGATGCGATTTCAATTTTTCCTTTCTCTTTGGAGTGTTACAAGCTCTTGGTGCATAAAGAAGATCTGTAAAGTTGCAAAGACTAAAGAACTCAAATCCAAAGAGATATTCTTTATAAAAGTTAAGAGTCAACCACGCCTACCTAAAATGGCTCGTTCTAACACGCCCCCACATGTCTATGTCACGATGTGGGAAGATGCTCACTCAAGCTGGCCTCCGCTCACTCTAGACGCCGGCCTCCGCTCACTCTAGCCCGCCGTTTGTGACGCTGTGTTTCATTGTGAAAGCAAAACTACTTTGTTTGGCCTTCCAAAAGAGGACACGACTAGAAACCAGTGGTTAAGTTGTATTTACAATACTGTTCCAGAACAGTTCAACCCAAATATTCAGATATTTGGAGGACCACATTTTATGGAGGACTGTTTTCTGATCCTGGTAGAGTAGACTACAATGCCGGTTGTTCTGACTCACAGACTGTAAGTACGTTTTTTATATTTAAAGAATATGCCACTAACGATTCAAACAAGAGTTTTGAGCAATGTAGAGTAGCGTTTGTAGTTTGTAATTTCTCAGATCACAAATGTAGACATGGTTTTATGTTTACGCCGCGCGATGCAGTGCAGTATACAGTTATTATAATCCGTAATTATGTCCCCACTGGATGCAACAAATGCCTCATTTATAATGGGTTTTAATGTTTTTGTCTCGTCACTCCGGCCGGGACAAGGCATCACAATATGGTAAGGGGCTAATTTCTCCGATCACAAATGTAGACATGGTTTTATGTTTAGGCCGCGCGATGCAATGCAGTATACAGTTATTATAATCCGTAATTATGTCCCCACTGGATGCAACAAATGCCTCATTTATAATGGGTTTTAATGTTTTTGTCTCGTCACTCCGGCCGGGACAAGGCATCACAATATGGTAAGGGGCGTAACATTTCAGTCACACGCTTGAGGTATTCGGCCAATCACAACGCACTGGATAGCTGGCCAATCACAGCACACCTCACTTTTCAGACCGATGAGCTTTGTAAAAATCTACGTGTTTCAGAAAGGCGGGGCATAGAAGAGAAACAATAATGTACAGTATGTGGAAAATAATGTGTTTTTTTAACCTTAAACCGCATAAACACATTTCATTACACCAAATACACACAATAAGACCCCCGGAGCAGACAACAGGTGACCCCTTTAACTAAAAATCCTGAATGATGCAGTATTGATGTGCATGATTTAGAAATACTTTGCTGTTGTGAAATGTTAATGTCTAAATATTACATTATTCCTAGAAAAGGGGGGTGAATCATAAATTTGGCATACTAACGTGGTGTATCGGATGGAAGGCTTACATCAGAGTAGCCGGGATGTTACTATTTTCTATTGCGAACTGACATCAGCTATATATACATTATGACACTGTTCCATCTAAGAAGACTCACTATTTAGGGGCTATTGTATTGTTCATTCATTTAGTACACAATCCACTCACCTACTGTGTGTTTCATTGTTGGATTTCTGTGGTGAGTACTCACTCGTCTGCTTTCTAAGAATGTATTGCTCCTGTTTTTGAGAGAAATCTGGTTAAATGATCAGAAATAGAATGAGCAATATTTACACACACACTGACAACAGGTAGCCACAGTGTAATGAAATAAAATAAAATAAAACCCCTCTCTCTACAAATGTAATTAACTGTACAGTGATTGTGAATGACTGCAGTAAGCTTAATCCAGGGTCCATCTGCTTTCTGAGTTTTTTTTTGGGATGTGAAGACTGACAGAGTTGTACAGCGTCCATTGAATTAGGATAACAAGTCATTTTCATTGCTCCGCCATGTTTACTGAAGAGATTTGGAGGCTTGGAATCAATTAAGATTGGCTTTCCTCAAGTCTGCCTGCTTAACAGGGCTCAGGCGGGGGGCCCACAGCTGTGAAACCCAAGGACCCTCAACCCCCAACTTTTGATTCTCCAAGCGTTTCTCTGCTTTTTCCCCTTTATTCACACTAGCCCTGCTAAAAACGCTGTCATATGTTGTGTTTTGGATGCTAGTCCCTTGCACTGGATGCTAATATACCGTAGGCATCTTATAATGACCCTCATGTCTTCCAAACCTCTATGATTTACTTTCTTCTGCAGAACACAAAGATATTTTGAAGAATGCTCCAGCTGTAGTTTTGGACCCCATTGACTTTCATTGAAATTTGCATGGCTACAGTATGGTGGTTCACATAAACCAGCACTAACCAGCATGAACCTGGTCTTTTCAGGAGGGAATACATTCCCTCAGAGAGGTAGGAGGTGATTTGGAGACCATCAGAGAGGCATTTTGACAAAAAACTGTTTAAAGACCCTTCTGAACTAACAGAAAAAATGGAAAGACGGAGCACAGGGAATCTGAATGTCGTGGCTATTCAGAGGGTCCAAATGATTTGAATGCTCGCTGCATGTGAATTACTAACATCTGTTCCTGAGTCATGTCAGTGTTAAATATGGTAGACATAGTCAGT